CGACTAACAAAAAACGTCAGAAACACAAAATTTTACGGAAGAAATGTCAGAAGGAAGCTGCATCGAGGCTTTTTTAAAAATTGAAAATGGGCGTGGCGTCGCAAACTTATGGACCAAAAACCATATCTCAGGAAGTACTCGACCGATTATATATAATATTTTCTTAACACCCTGATGACATGTACCAAATATGGGTGAAATCGGTTCACAACGACGCCTGAAGTCTCGATTATCACTTTATCATGCGGTGACACCCGAACTTAGCCCTTCCTTACTTGTTTGTATTATATTATATAATTTGGAGCATAGTAATAAGCAATTTGCTGAAATTTCTTTTCTTTCGCAATAATGCCTCTTTCATTATTAAGCAATCTTTGTTCTAATAAAAACAATTGCCTATAAATTATATTTCAAATTAAAATTAGTATAAACAACCTTTCCATGCATATGGATATTTCCTTATTTAAATTTAATAAACAAATAAGTAATATTATAGTATATAATAATATTACGTAATTTAATACCTGCAATGCAGAAAGAAGTACTTCGCGAAAGTACTTCAGTCGCCCCGAGCATTGGCTCAAGAAGAGTTATTTTTTCAGAGCAACATGTTCTTATAATACAAAAATGTTTTATTACAATGATATACGTTTTATAATATTATCATAGAGTTTTATTTATTTGTGGTTATTAAATATAAATCACATATTATACATAGAATGGATATGGAGAAACTGTTCACAACTCAATTATAGCTTAAAAATGTTGGAAATAATTTTTTATTATAGTTAATATAGAAAATACAAACAAAGAAAGCGATGTCGGCGAAAATCCTTCATATTTGGATTCTCGATTCATTTAAAATATGGCAATGCAATAGAAGTGAAATATAGGCTTATTTCGATGTTTAAAGTCTACATTTAAATATACACAGTAAAAAATGTAAAAAAAATTTGGTGAAACATTGAGAAATATCATGCGATATTAATACGAATTTTTGATTTTTTAGTCGAGAATATTTTAAAATATAAGTGTTAGCACCATTTATTTTGCATATTTCTAATCTGGAGATATTCCCCTACGAGCACGTCCCATTTATATCGAAACTCGTTTTTTTTACCCGGCCGCCAAAGTAATCGTAATCGTGCCGTATAATTGTATCCATTTTAAATATTTCAAAAACGAAACAAAAAGCTAGGAAAATTTATTTAATTTTTCAAACTTGTAAATTTTGTTAATCGACGGTCGCATGAACATTTTCGAATTCGATGTGGATTTAATAATTATACCCACTATTTCTAATTCTTGTCTCTCTCTCAATCCCTTTTAAAAAAGTAGCGGCATGTATGCCGTGCCTAATATGCATTTTAAGAACAATATTTCCATTTCATTTATTAATATTTTAAGTAATTTTGACTGAATATTTAGGAGAGTATATATGTAGAAGCTTTTATCTAAGTTCTCTACCTTTTTTAGCTGGGTTTTTTTAAAATACTACAATGAAATTGGTAGTACTACCACCAAATACTACATTACCTATTAAAAATATGTGTTTGACAGAAATGGCCTATAAACCATTAGCAGTTGCCAAAGTAATACAATTAAAGGTGATTATTTGACTTATCCGAAGGAAAGGCATTCTTTTTGGTTATATATAAAAAGTGATTTTACCAACCTTTAGTACTGGGCACTAGCTCGATGCTTGTGAAACGACCTTACTGTACCAGGCCCTAGTTCGAAGCTGATGAAATAAGCGGGATCACCTCCACTTTACTGCCCCTAAACATTGAATTTTTTCATGCAAGACTTAATAAATGGGATAAGGACAATTTTGGACGAGAAATCACTAATCATAAATTAAATAATAACAACGATTAAAATCATTTTGTGCTTTAAATTAAATGTTTTATTGTTGTTTCTAATTTTTTTCAAAACATTTTTTCGCGATCAATTTCATTTTTCTTGTCCTTGCGAAAGATTAGAAAAGTTCTATCAGTTTAAAATTAATGATCTTGATGAAAATAAGTTCATTTCAATTGCAACTAAATTCATTACACTTACTATTGACCAATCGATTAAAATAATATATATTTATTTATGTAAAAAGTCCAACAAAAAAAATTTTTTTTTTTTAATTTTTTAAGGCAGCATTCCCTTGGACCCTATCGATATTATACGTTTATCATATATTTTCTATTGCATTGATCTGTGAACAAAATAAATAAGAATTTTAATTAAAGGAAAAATTGTGCCTACATTCGACTGGTAAGTGGCGAATGAAACCTGAAATGAAACATTTTAATAATAATTTTCATCAAAACGGTCCAGATTGTTACAGCTTATTGAAATTCGGACTAAAGAAGTGTGTACAGGACAACGTTTGTTGGGTCCGCTAGTACATATATATGTATGTACCTAAAAAATATATACTTGTTAAAGCTTACATTTGTCGAAGATATCTAATTGGCTATTGCTTGACGAAACATTTTTTTGAATAACGGTTTCGTGCATATCAAAACTAACTATTCGATGCAGATTTTTTGCCATAAATTTTAGTTGTTTGCTGGAGTAGTTTAGTGTACTTGATGGACTATTTTCTTCGGAGGGGTACAGATCGTCACCTTATTGAAAAACTATTATTATTAATATGAATTTTTGAATAAAAAATTTCTCACCGGGCAGAACTCCAATCATAGCATCTGAAGATTTATAATAAAACGGTGCAAGTAGTTCTTTTGTTTGTCTGCTGCGATAACTAGCGTAATTTGTTAAGTTTTGCAGCCGTGTAAATTTGGAAAGCCGTGAAAGTTCATACATTTGGGGAGGTGGCAACCATATTTTTTTGTTTTTGTGAAGATCCAAATATTCTGAAGCAGTTTTCCACTACGAAATGAAAATAACATCATATTAATAGAGATATAATACGGTGTTGTTAAATTAGTGGGATAAATTTTAAAATAAAGTCCTCAGAGTTGGGGTTTAAAAGGATATCCATATTAAGAAAATATGTATACATATTCAGTGTTTGTCCGGAAAGAAATAAGACTGTACTACGGAGCGTGCGCGCACCGACTGGATTCGGTAGAGCGAGTTCCTAGCACCTATAGAGTCAGTCCTTAAGAAACTCAAACGAAGAGTCAATCGAGTCCGACAAGACATCGCAGCCGATTGGAAGTTGCACCACGGCAACGCCCCGGCTAATACCGCTTTTCTTGTGAACAGCTCTCTAACTAAGGCTGGCTTCGCAGCGCTTCCGCAGCCGCCCTACAGCCCAGATGTGGCATCAGGACTTTTTTTGTTCCCTTGCCTGAAAAGGCCGATGAAATGCAAGCATTTTGAGGCGACAGAAAGGATCCAAGCAGCATGCACCTCAGCTCTCAAGGCGTAGACTGCCTAACGGGACGTCTTTAATGCTTGGAAATCGCGCTGGCAGCGCTGCATCTACGCAGAAGGAGGCTATTTTGAAAGTTTTGTAACGAATTTTTAAATCGACCAGTCCTATTACTTTCCGGACAAGCCCTGTATATAGTTGAGCTATCTACACTTAAAGTCCAAAATTCCAACTACTTAAAGAGGGTGTTTTTTTGATTTGTAATACATTTTTCACTTTTAATGGGTATATTTGTCCAAAAAGTTTTTTCGTACTTCTAATCAAACTTCAACTTATTATTTTTTTGTTTTGATATCTATTCTAATAAATAAATAAATAAATGTGTAACATTTTTCCGCTAGAGACATTACACTGATTTTAAACCAAAATTTCCAGAGCGAAAGCGCTCGAACCATTGTTATGCTACACGAACTGATACACCATCGTCTCCGTGAACTTCACAAACTTTATCTTCCCCTTTTTATACAAAAGTTTCAAAATATAGCGAATTTCTTCATTATTTTCACTCTTTGCTGAACATTTGTAACTTTTTTCAACTTTCCCAGATTATTATTTTTTTTTGGTATAGACCAAGCATCCTCGCTTAGAAATACTTTGATAACTTTTACTCAAAGAATAATTGTTATTATATAGTGCGAATAGCAATTACCCAATCTGAAAAACAACAAATCAGCAGGTCCGATTGCTTGCCGGCTGGCTTTTCAAATACGGCAGCGAAGAATTGATAAAGAACATTCATCAGCTTCCTTGAAGAATATGGTCGGACGAGAGCATAGCTGACGATTGGAATTTAAGTTTTCTCTGTGAAAAGAGAATCGACACACACCACTACGTCGTCGATTTCGAAGCTGCTTTTGATATCACGAGTGTACGTCTGCTAGCGCACGCCCATGATATTGAAACGCTTAGTAGCCAATACAAATTTATACAGACATTTAATTTCAAATTCCGCCAGTTTGATGAAATGACTGAAGGTATGCGTACTCAAGTATTAAGGTCTTGACTTCCCAAATGCGAGGCAGTCAAAAAGGAAGTGTTAAGTTGTTTCCAGCATATCTTCTTCTATACAGCTTCTGCAAACGGCGTCTGATGAGATTCCCAACCTTACAGCATGGACGCCAATAGGCATTGAGATCAATCTTGGGCTAATAGGCTTTTGCGACAGCACTAGTACCGATGGTGGCTCAGCGCTGCCCATGCTTCCGCGAACCCCAGCTTTCTAGTAGTAGAACACAAGAGGATTCGGGATCACCGATCCGCTCCCTTTCTAGTGATAGCGATTCTAGGGTGCCTTTCCCTGCTAGCTCTTCAGCTTTACAATATCCTGTGATGCTATTGACAGCAAGGTTAGGTACTCCTAGACCATTTCTGAATGCATTGTAAATGAGTTCAAGGCGAGTATCGCTACTTTGCTATTTGAGTGAATGGTCACTTCTCCGCTCATTGTCTCTTTTGATATTAAAGGCATCGTCCACCATGTATTTATTTTTCCTGGACAAACCGTTAACGTCAAGTTGAAGTCCTCAGTAGAATAAAACAAAAGGTCAATCGGGTCCGACAAGACATCGCAGCCAATTGGAAGTTGCATCATGACAACTCGCCGAATCACACCGCCTTTTCCGTGACCAGCTACCTAACCAAGGCCAGCATCCCAACACTTCCGCAGCCGCACTACAGCCCCTCGATTTAAACTTTTTTAAATCGACTCAGTCCTATTACTTTCTGTAATGTCCTTGACTATAGTGTCATAGAGCTAGAGAACCACTTTCGGTAAGATACCCCATCTTTTGCCAAAGGCTTCTCTACAGCGGTGTAAGCAATCGATGAATTTTCTGACCTCTCTTCGATATTAGGCTTCTATGACAGCTTCCTATCCACGGTAAGCTCTAGATAACGGATTTTTCAATAGGGACGCTTCAAAAGTAGACCGATAGACAGCAAACGACAGCATATTTTTTCCCGCCCTTTTGACATTTCTCTTCAGCAAAGTTTGCCATTTCATCATGGAAAGATTTACGATCCACCAACGAGACGATTTTATTAAAATTTACTACCTAAATTCGGAGCCAGTGGCCTCCACTTTAAGAGCACCACGTCTAGTTTATGGTCGTCATAACCGTCCTGTAAGATCAACAATTGAGCGTCTAGTAGAAAAATTTTAATTCACAGGCACAGTACAAAAAGCGCATCAATTGAGGAAGATTCAAATCCGTCTCTCACACGACGTTCACAAACGTCGGGCATATCTATCACGTTGTTGTGGCGCATTTTGCGAATAGATCTTGGACTACATTCTTACAAGATCAAATTGACGCAAGAACTGAAGCCGTATGTTGGTAAATTGGGCTGAACAACAATTTGAAAATGATTCGATTTTCATCGAAAAATCGTCTTGAGGGATCAGGCTCATTTTTGGCTGTATGGCTTTGTCAATAAGAACAATATGCGTTATTGGTCAGGCAGCAATCCACATGTACTCCATGAGTCACCAACTACGGCGTCATTGGTTTGTACTTCTTCCGTAATGACCAAGACCGCCAAAAATTGGGTTCAGCGTCTGGTCTTCTGCAAAAGTTCCCGTAGTGGCCATGCAAAAGAAGTAGAGTTCCATACATAATGAAAACGAAAGGACTTTCACAGGAATAAAGAAATGCATTGATATCCCAAACCGTTTTTGTTTTATTTAAACAAATTTTTGTGACGCTTTTATTGAAAAAAGAAAAAAATATCGATTACTTCAAGTAGAAGGAATAAAAGTCAAATTTTAACACTTTGGACACATTTGCATAGACCTCAAAAAATCAAAAATTTCTATAAAATATATCAGACCCTTCCGTCACAATGATATTTTTAGGCAAATATTATGCATAATTTCTATTTTCTGTCCTTGGTAAAAAAAAGATGAAGTTATGTGTACAAGTTCACGAAAGCGAGGAAAGTTCTCTCATTGCCACTCACATGGGAGTGACAGAAACGATTATTATACATATGACTCAAACAGCTCACGACTTCCGGTTTTAGACCAAGTATCCTCTGGGTAGCCACAAAACATCCGTTTGAAAACGAGAAGGCGAAACATTCCCTCCACAGGGTTGTGCGATTCCTTACTTGGGAAGGTGTCGCTACCCAGCTTCTTGATGTCCACACTAGAGTGAAGGCTGACATCAACTCCGTCCACGAAATGCGATGGACGGGCAAGGACTGAGGCGAGTGGGCGTTTACGAAATTGGCCATATAAATATGCACAAATTCGGTGTGGGATTCGTGGAGGGAGAGAGACGTCTAGCCTCAATCCGGAATCCAAGGAATCTCCGGAAATGGCGTCGCAATGACCAGCTCATTCTCACCTATGTTGAGTAAAACAAAAAAAAAAACGTAATCAAAGGATGTTAAGCATATAATGAAAATAAATATCCCACTAATTCCTAATTAGAAAAGACTCCTTTATCTCAGCATTCTGGACACATTCTTCATATTCATATATTCCTCACCGAAAGAAACCTTGGGAGGATGGAGTCATGTGTGGAAATCCTACGCAGGGTAACTTTCTCCAACAGGTGCTCCTTCGGACTGAGTAGGCAATTGAGAAATCCTCTCTCGGCAAACAAAAACCAAACGCTATAAATTACTCATAATTCCCGTCCTGCTATATGGTGGAGAGACTTGAACGATGTCAACAACTGATGAGTCGACGTTGCGAGTTTTCGAGAGAAAAGTTCTGAGAAAGATTTATGGTCCCTTGCGTGTTGGCCACGTCGAATATCTCCTTCGATGGAACGATGAGCTGTACGAGATATACGACATTGGCATAGTTCAGCGAATTAAAAGACAGCGGCTACACTGGCTAGGTCATGTTGTCCGGATGGACAAAAAACACTCCAGCTCTGAAAGTATTCGACGCACTACCCGCGGGGGGAAGCAGAGGAAGAGGAAGAGCTCCTCTCCGTTTGGAGGACCAGGTGGAGAAGAACCTGGCCTCGCTTAAAATTGACGCCACGTAGCGAAAAGAAGAAACGACTGGCGCGCTGTTGTCAAATCGGCTACAATCGCTTAAGCGGTGTCCTCGCCAATAAAAAAGAAGAATTTCGAAAACCACATAACAAGTAATAAGGTATCTATATGTAATATAAATAATTTGATAGACCTATGAAAAGATAAATGCACAACCAGATTAATAAATAGGTTAAATCCTAGTCCGATGACAACATATCGAACATACAAGGAATACAACTATGAGTAACCTTCTTAAATAACGAAAAATTTTATGGTGCAATGCACATTTACGGAAAATTGGTGTAAGTTCTCAATTTTCAATGATATAAGAGAAATAATTAAAGAAAATGCGACGACGTAAGTGGCATAAAACTCGTTGCCGAGCTGACAAATCTATTGTAAATACCATTTCTAAAAATCTTTGGGAAAATTAAGACGTTTAAAAATTTTGTTCTACCGTGTAATTGGATTTTTCAAGATCGTTCACTTAAGTTTCATA